GTTCCTCTGAAAAATGAGAGCAAGTGAATAAATACATGATAATTTTGGCAGTGATATGGTTTTTATATGAGTTTTAAGTGTAATGCTATATGGGCATATAGACGATAATAGAAAAATTCCCTCCCTTAATAATGAGTCAAATAGTTTTATGAATCTATTGTGTGTTATTCCACGTGATTAATTAACCCGAATTTTCGAATGTATTAGTGAGTCATTGTGGGGATCATCTGAATAAACAGGGGACTATTTATGTTTCGATACATTATCATAATATACATTTACCCACCAGGTGGCAGAAGAATAACTGTTTAAATAGATGGATACAGAATGTTGTGGCTTATATGATATTTTCTTTGCTATATGGCATATCCTGAAGGATCATATAGGAACAGCTGTCGTGACCTCCTAAGGAGTAGATAAGCAGAGGGATACAACATAGCGGGGGAGCATCATATAATGGTTAGAATTTTATTCCTAAGGCATAGTGTATATTATAAGAGAAACAGAGAGACAAAACAAAAAGGACGAACGAACAGGAGGGAAAAAAGGAATATGGAATTTGCGCCATAATAAAATAGATTAAGCCGTCCGCGCCGTTGAGAAGAGGAAACTAGTGTAAACCAAGAGAATGAGTGAGAACACAGAGACAAACCGCTAGGAAGGGCTACCAAGAGGAGCCCAAGGGGGAAGCTATAGATACTGAAGCAGGTTTGATAAGGCATATGGAGGAATCAGACGTATGAAGATGAACATCATAAGAGCATATCTAAGATAATCAGTATACAGTAATTACAGAAAAAAGGACGAAGAAAGAACAGAGCAGCCGGAGGGAAAAGGAAGGAAGAAAAATAAAACGGGGAGCAGAAGAAGAATATCCAAATTTTCTACCGAGTCTTCCTCTACCGAAATAAGCCATATGAGGGATATAAGATCCTATATTATGAACTGCCAACCAAGTATAAAAAAAGGAAAAATAAATTGCAAGGAGAACACAAGCGCATAACTGAACAGGGAAGAATTAATAACAAATTCAGCCGTGGGACCAAATGGAAGTATGCATGCATGAAGGGCTCCAAGCGGGGGCGAATAGAATACGATAATTAGGATTATATATTATTAACAACCTAAGCAGAACATAGAGGAACCCAACCAGTACGGGTGAAGATGAGCTAAGAATAATAGTAGCATATATACAGCAAGGAAGTCAGGGAAGAGAACACTCAGAAGGTGTGAAATGAGTAAGGATAGGTATATATATCGGGAGGAGTTAACCAAAATACCATAGGACATATAGGGGATACTTATAGAATATAAACTTAATAACAGAGCGTACATGCCAATAACAGAAAAAACCTTGATAAGCCAAAGCAGGGAGAGAACAGGAATGACCATTATAAAATGATATAAGGATATATGTATATGAGAGGGCCATACTGAATACAGGAAATAAACTAATTCATAGAACTACACGGGGGAAGGCACCAAATATAATATAAAGAGAAAGAATAAGAGAAGAGCAACTCAACCTTAGGGATAAACGGAACGAGTACCCAAACAATAAAAAATAAGAGGACTTAGATAGAAATAGAGGGACAGGAAGGGAAGGCAAAACAATGAAGAAGAGGCCGGCGAAATCGTAGATAATAACCGTCTTATTGAACAGGAGGCTTCACTAAAGGAGTATACACCAAAAGGGACCCAACGAAAGGAAGGTTCTAACGGACAAACAACAGGGCACAGAGAAATTCCCCCCCCAGGGACATAGCAGGAGAACAATAGTAACTTAAGATTAAGCGAACGACGAGTAGAAGTAGCTCGGCCAGTATAAGTCCCAATAACAGAGAAGATGATTGAAGGGATAAACTACCGATACACAAGGAAAGGATGGACTACAAATGGAAGGGGAACAGCATAGGTGACAGAAGCAGGAGCAATAAGCAGAGGAGTAAGAAAACAAGATTATTAAAGAGCAAACAAGTAAATCACCCGAGAATATAAAAGGAGGAGGACTAAAAGACTTAATGATTAGAAACCGGAAAGAAAAAGGGGAAGGACACCAACAGATGCCCGAAAGGAGGAAGCAGGAAAAATACGCACCAAATCCGAAGACACCGGAACCCTAGGGAAGCCTTCATAGGGAACCAGGAAGGAGGATCACTTTCCTACGGGACCAGAAGTTAGAGGAAAGAGTAGGAGGCCAAATGAAGTAAAAGAAAGAAGAGAAAGTAAAACAGCAGAAGCCGGAAAAAGCGGAAAAAACTTCTTACCCTAACCACAGGATGAATGATATGAGAAAGATATATAAGGCCAACGCAATGGATAGAGAAAGAACCGTGTGGGTTACGAGAAAAGCCGCAAAGAGGAGAAGAGAACGGAGGATAAAAGCCTAAGGAAACGAAAAGGATGAGCCAGGAAGCCCCAACCTGGAGAGAAGAAGTTGTAGGCTAAAACAGAGGAAGGAGAAGATGCCAGAAAAAAAAGAAGAAGACAGTAAGGAGCAGGAAGAGGGAGGGAAGGAAAAGGAACTAATAGGTACCAACCGTTCCCCACAGAAGTATAAGAAAGGGGAAAGGCAGGGCAAAACAGGATCCACAGCAAGGAAGTAAACTACAAAACTGGCAAAATGGATGCAAGAACACCAAATGGGTCAACTACATCATAGACAACGGACCCCTGAAAAGAGGGAATAACAACTTCCCGCAGAACTCCGCGAAAATAAATCAACAAAATAGACTAAGAGAACCCCCTCCCGGACAAAACAGAAGAGGCAGGGTCGCGTCAACCCAGAAAGTAGTGACGGCAGCACCGACTACAAGTTAGTGGTTTTTCAAGAAACCACGATCCAGAAAGATCCGAGGCCGGAGAGTTAAGATAAAGAAGATCCAAATCTTGGAAGAAATTACCCCCAAACAAATAACTGAGAACGGAGTAACCTAACATATAGCCCCACATCTAAGCTATCAGAGCAGGCAGCAATATGCGTTAAACAGGAAACATGAACCAGGAGCCAGGAGCATGGCAACCTCTAACACCAGAAGCCTCGAAACCTTCAAGGGAATCTAGGGAAGATCAAAAAATTCCATAGTAGGCCCTTCGAACCACAGCAATGAAATAACAAACCAGAAACATATCTCAAAGGAAATAGCCTTCTAATCCAGACAACATCACGGGTTCCTGTACTCCACGCCATATAACGAAGACAGAGGAGTAAGGTAAAAGGGGACAGAGAGTCAGGAGGCCATGCAAAAGAAAGCTCAGCAGTAGACGACTGAGAGTTACCTCAAGCCACTCCAGTAGTTCCACACAGGCAACCCTTCTAGAGGGGAATGGCAATCCTTCCAAAACTACTTAAGTAGACTCTATCAATCCCGGAGAAAAAAGGTCCGAATATCAAGAAGTGATTATCAGAACAGGGGACCATTCTCTAACCGCAAGCAGGACCCCCTAAAAATAGTACCCACGTTAAGGAGATAGAGGCGAAGAACTAGAACCCCCAATACGAGCAGAAGCTAGGGAGAATCACACTTTGAGATCAAGAAGTCCAGGATTAAGTAGGAAACTGGTAAGAGGGGGGAAAAATAAAACGCAAACTCTATCTCCAATAAGAGAAAAACCAAAGAAAGTTGAGGAGTGGGAGCTAGTCCAAGGAGGGAGGGTAAAAAATTCTTCCAGGAATTTTTTAGAGAAGATACACCAAAGCAGCAGTTCAAGGGAAGATCGGGAACCACTAGCAACTCAGACGGGGAAGGAAAAAGGATAAGGACTGAACAGGAGCCGCAGGAGGATCAGAGTGCGACAGGAGTAACCAGGAACATGAGACGACGAACAATTAGAGGAAGCCAAAACCGCATCTAGGAGCTCTCCAACAGCACACATAAAATCCTCTATGGCAGAGAGGATCTCCCCCCTACAAATCACCTGGGCGAAACAACTAAGAGAGGTGAAACAGAATCATTCTCTCTGAGAACAATAACTTCCGGAAAAAAGCGGACCATACCTCAACAGACGAAGAAAAAAGCCCAAGGATCACAATCCAGGAACACTCTGAGGAAGAGTAAGAGTTTCAAGCACCCCTATCTGAGAAAAATTTAGGGGAGACCGAGGAAGGAGTATCAGCCTCCCTACGAATAGGAGGATAATACGGGAAGAATCTCTTAATAGTTCCACCAGGAGCTAATTATAAGTAATAAAGAGGCCTTAACTACCAATACTCTATCAACAGAGGTTACAGTTAACTTAAGCACAACCATTAGGGAGCCCATAACCATTAGTTAACTCTAGAGACTTCTATAACCCCCAGGAAGAGGACGAGAGATATTGCGCATTCAGGGCCTGCCCCTTAAGAAGAGTATCATTTCCTTCCCCCCCTAAATAAAGTATGGCAGCTGCATCATTGGACCCGGAAGGTACAATAAAAGGGAAAGCGTCGAGGGAATCGAAAAAATCATTAACTATTAAAAGAAATGTCCTTGGAAGAGAAATCGAAAAAATAATTTAACGCAGAAGATGCTAAATTTTCGCATTCAATCCGGCGAAGGCAAAGAATCAAACAAAGGACAGATGAGGAAATTGAATGAAGTCAAGAGAGGTCAATCACCCTTTCCTGAAGCATAACTCGCGCAAACACCTTGAACCAATAAAAACAGGGGGGAGAAAATGTCTAGTACCATAAGAGGGACCGGGAATAGTCAAGTGACCCCAGATAAAGGGAATTTCCTCAGATAATTCTAATTCCCAAATAGAAGTCCAGCGTTCAAAGATAAAGTTACTATCCTCCCCAGGATAAGTTTCCATCTAACTTCAGAAGTCTAGAGAGGGAGTAAGGAGCATTCCACCAACCCCCTAGGAATAGACGGAGTTAGAAATACAACAGATCTTTCAATCCGAAGCTCCAAATTTTCTCCCGGCTCAATATCATTAAGAAACAACTAGACTCAGCTATTCCAAGGGATAAGAAGGATGAGGCGGATATATAAGACAGGGAGCAATTATAAGCCTTAATGAACCAGAACCCCCAGAGGCTATCCCAGCAAAATAAGGGCACCAACACGACCCAAAATTCAACTCGCGAATTAAAAGTGTCCCAAAGAATTGAAGGAGTCCACTTCACTCTCAGGACTACCAGAAGCCCTCTATTCCAAAAGAGGAGAAGACTAGGATCTCCTACACCAAACCGGTGAAGGCAAAAGGAACAAGCCAGCAAGAGTTTAAGGGACCATCACAACGCCAGCTTCGAATAGACCCAACGGCGAATTTAATAATAAATCTATAATAAGACTCTCGACACAAAAAACAGGCAACCGCACACAGAGAGCCATAGTAAGAAAATATAATAGACTAGGGATAGCTGGAGTTGAGAATTTATCAGAATCCACCTTAACAATACTCCCTTTAACGTACATCAATGAACAAGTCTCCAGAGTTCGCAGGAGTAACACTCCAGATATCCACATCCAATAAGATGAGCAATTAAGGCGACTCAAACTAAATTATGAACAGGAGAAGAAAAGATCAGCTCATACTCCAGGCAACTAGATTCCATCTACACCTGCTTCCCCAGTCCTAAGGATACTTCAAGAGACATTAAAGAATTCAAAAGAATTAAGAAATAAAATAAACTAAGACGCACTGGTAATCCCTTCGAAGGATAAAATCAGATGTGAACTCCCCCCCCCCTAACCCAAGAAGGAGGGGTACCTGATGATCTGAGGGACCATCTATAGGAACCCATAGGGAGGCGGCTAAGAGTGGACGCAAAATCCAGCCCAACATCAAGGTGCGGAGGAGGTAAGATATTTGATCAACCATAACAGAAAGGAGAAAAATGATACGCGGCTAGTATAGAAGGACAAATGCTGGCAGGGCAATTCCCCTAATATGGGTACAGTGAAATGTGGTCTCGAGAGAATTATAATGATATCTTAAATGAGCTCAGAGAGACTAACGATAATAGGATAAAATAAGAGATTCCAGATAGAGTCTCCTATGACAGGAAGAGAAGACTGCAGCTCTCTGAAATACGGGAAGAAGGGAGTAGTATGTCATTACTGAGTGAAATTCCCGTATGCTCAGCAGGTACTCAAGTAGCTCTAATAGCCCTCTAGCAGAAGTCAAAATAAATAACCCCAAGGAGGGGACTTTCTCTGTACTCAAAGTGGGAGCTCAAATAGAGGATAATCTCCCAGGAACCAACTATTATTAATGGGAAGCAGGTTATCCGGGCACCGTTTATAGGGGGGGCACAGGAGACTAGACGAGGGGGTTTCGCAATCTGCTCTAAGGAAAACAGAACCTACCCGCAGAACCAGTCGATTAAGACAAATTAACAGTAAGGGGAGAATAGATATCCTAAACTCTTTAATCTTTACAAGTATATGAAGACTCTATGACAACTATTAAGACCAGCTGAAATCCAAGCCACGTAGCAACACGAAGAAAACTCAAGAACTGAAAAGACAAAGTCCTCTATCGGTAAGTTAAGAACACAGAGAGCACTGAGGCGAAGGACCCTGGGAGAAATCATCCCCCCCAAATCAATAATAGCGGTGGAGCCTCATAATATCTCCCTCATATCCTAAGGGGCTGAGATCAAATCCTAGCACAGTAGGGGTAAGTAATGAACAAGATTCCAAGTGCAGAAATCAGAGCTCGATATCCCCCAAAAGAAGTCACTCACAAGGCGAGAGAGGGAGTATTACACCAGAGAATAGAAATAGGGAGGGTGATATAAGTAAGGCCGTAGTATTAGCCTCCCCCCCTAAAGCACCAGGGGAAATCTGAGGTGAAAAAATCCCGCTTAATATAAAACGTTAAAGCGGCAGCTCTATTAGTCGTAATAATTAAAAATGAAGGAACCTCTAGGAGCTCTCTATCGTAAGGGTTAATGAGAGAAAAAGAAGATGAGGGAAGAAATATAATGTCCAGCCTGAAAAATGAAGGATTTTTTAGCAGTATCCCTGATCCTTAAGGGGATGACAAAAAATCATACAGGGGGCGAACCCGGATAAAGTAACCTTCAACTAGGGGCTCAGAGGGCTTTAATCTCAGAGGAATCCCCAAAAAATCATCACTTCAGCTGACGAACCTTATTTCCAACGAAGCCAATTGACCCCGGCAGGATTAGTATATTTCAGATTAGAGAAGAGTTCCCTCTTTTTTCTCTCCCTCTTTCACTGTACTAAGTTGGATTAGGACGTATAATTCCAGATTAACAGAATATCGGACTCCGCCGACTTCTCCAGGAGGTCACGAGCAAGATTCCTGACAAAATTCCACGATCCAGCAAACCGCATTACTGACCTTATTTGAAAAATTCCATGGAAGAAACATTAATCAGATGGCTAAGGCAGGGAGTAAGTGTTCAAACAGGAATAAGAAGAGTGAACGTCCAAAACAAGAAGGAGATGAACTGAAATCTGCTGGAAACCAGCAAAGGATATAACGTCTCGGGGAAGTTATGTACTCTCAGTGAGTAAAGGTCAAGAATTTGAAAGATTATGAAGTAGAAAAATTAATAACTTAGAAACTTCTACTTTTCAGGAGACGCAAGCAGAGAAACCAGGAAGATTCCGCGTTGTTTCCTTAATCCAAGGCTACTTTCCTGACAGTCGCCGTAGTAGTCTAATAAGCAACCACCCAATGGATAGTACCACGAGTTATTTAGCGGGTTATATGGAATCAGTAGTAAATCTCATAAAGAAGAAATCAATATGTAACAAAGAACACGGAGGTGTCCCTAGGGTTTGTCAGTTTCTCAACAGGGGGAAGGAGACGAAATATTTAACTGTCTGGGACGACGGAACTTCTGGAAGAGAAGATTTATGTAACTTTACGCAATCAAGCAAGAAATATATCGCGGGGTTATGTCAAGGATTAGAATTATGGGTGAATACATTAGCTCCCGATGAGGCGAAACATCAGCTATATAGGCAGGGAAAGTGTAAGATTCAGGAGACGGGAAAAGGTACAAAGGGTAGACAAAGGACTGCCGAGTGTTTAGAGGGTAAGAGCAAGTCCAAATGGTGGGATTGGACAGACATAGAAGACAAAGAGATAAGGTCAGCTGCGGAGGAGGGGCTTCAAGTATGTATGGATATCATAACGATGATAATGAGAGCTTTCTGTATGACTTCCACTGATAGCAAGAAATATAGCGCAAGGGAGAATCCAGAAAAGAGTTGTCAAGATCTATTCGAGTTAATGACCAGATGGTCTTCAGAAGAAATAGCGAGCACCGTTATGGAGGGGATATTTTCTGGATTGAGGGGGACAAAATCATTTCTGGGGGGTCTACAAATTCAGGGAACAGATCTATTCAATGAGCTCCAGATGTTACATTTGGGAGAGGAAAACAGCCATAGAGACTACTCTTGTTATTTAGAGTCTCTCAATGGCAAAGATACAAGGAGCTCGACGCGAAGGTATACCTGGAAGCAGGATCCCTCCCCTTTAGCCACGATCTCGGAGTCTCATTTAGCCCCTACAACCCAAGGTGGACTCGCGCAGCAAGAGAGGGCAGGGGCTTTGGGAGATTCGGGGTCCACTGAGAGGGGCAGAAGCCAGGCCGCACAATTTTTTGGCAGCACTGGGGAGGGAGACTCTCCAGGGGGCGTACAAGAGGATAGAGTTGGGAGTAAGAATAATGAGGCTTCATTAACCATCCAATCCAATCCAGGGAATGAGACCTCAGGGAAAAGGGGAGGGATAGAAGGAGCAATTGTTGGGGGTATAATTAGTATAATTTTAGCCCTAGGGGGCTCTTATGGAATTTTTAGGGTCTTTAAAGGGAAGGGGAGGAAGGATTTTACCGGAATGGATATCGGGAAGCGGGTGGAAGTGGGATACCGTTCAAGTGGAGGGTAGCGGGGTAAACTTCCGGGCCAGGGGTAGATGTAAAGGAGGAGGGATAAGAGTTTCGGAGTTTAGGTTAGGGTGACTCAAAGCATGGAGTTAGGATCCAATGATTAGCGGAAGGTTTAGGTTTTAGGGTTCAGGGTTCAAGGTTTCAGGGTTTAGGGGTTACGGTTAGTGAATCGCGGTTCAGGGTTCAGGATTTATGTTTAGGTTTTATGCTTTAGGTTCAAGCGTATAGCGTTCAGGTTCTAGTTTATGCATTCATGTTTAGGCTTCATTGTCTAGCCTTTCAGGTTTACGAGTCAAGCGCTCACGGTTTAGCTTCTAGGGTTCAGAGTTTTCGGTTCAGGGTTTATTTTTTAGGCTTTATGTCTTATGGGGCATGGTTTAGGTTCTAGGCGGTAGGCTGTAGGATTTAGGATTCTGGGATTAGGGTTTATGCTCTAGGCTTCAGTGTTTATGTTCTGTTTTTAGGGTTCACGTTTAGAGGTTCGGGGGGACGGTTCAGAGTTTAGGGTTTAAGGGATCATCATTCTGGCTTTAGGATTTAGGGTTCACGCTTCAAGGTTTTAGGCTCTAGATTCAGTCTTCTGTGTTCAAGGTTGAGTTTGGGGATTTCATGACTTATTCTTCTGAGGTCTCGCCTTAACGTTCAACTTGCCCCATTACGGGTCAGCTTCCAGTCCCTTCGCGTCCTGGGTTTCTGATTTAGGATTCAGTTTTTAGGGTTTACGAGTAATTTCTTGGGAGTTTTCGATCCTGGGGGCAGCTTTTAGGCTAGATTCTTCACCTTTTACGTCTCTGTTCCTTAGGCTTCAGAGATAATGTTCTATGTCTTAGGATTTCTTCGTGTGCGATTTAGCGTCAATGTTTTAGCGTTTAGTACCCTATATCTTATTCTTCTTCTATTAGGGAGTTAGGCTTATCCTCAGGTTTCATATTTCGGGCATTTTTTTTCCGTTTACGGCTCTGCGAATATTTTTATGATTTAGGTTTTGGAGTCCCAGCTCTTTGGATAGAGGCCGTAATGTTCGGGCTTCTGGTCTTGCCTGGTCGGTTGATCGTTTTGGTTCCTCTGATTGTTTCATGTTGTATCCTCTAAGATTAGGCCTGCCCTTTGAGCTCCTGAATTATGATCCTTCCTGCTTCAGACGATTGACTCTTATTCTCACTTTTACGATTATTCTAGGTTTCTGTTTTGATGCTTTTGCTGGAGTACATAGGTATGTTGTTGAGGTGGTTACCTTCAGGCTTCCTTACTGTGGTTTTGCTTTCAGCCAGTTCGATTCCATTCTTGTTTCTCTTCTGTTGGTTCCTTGAATCCTCTACACTTTACTGCTAATATATCCAGGGTCTCATCCTGAGCTCTCAGGTTTGACGGACTAGGATTCCACCTTAGATCTGTTGAGTCACTTGATCCTCTTAATAGTTTCTCCTTCCATGCTGCGATATGTTCTCTATGATCTTCGGTTCATTTTCTGGCGATAGAAGCGGGGGGGGCGAGTGGTTTGCTGGCTTCTACGGTTGAATCCCTATTTTCGCAGATGTAGCCTAAGGGTTAAGTGTTGAGCCTCTCAATTTTGAATTTGTAGGTTCCTATTCTTACTGGTGTGTTTCTTAGGGTATATGCTCTAGTTGTCAGGGTGCTAGGGGTCTTGTTTAATATTTAGGTGTTATTTCCTGAAGTTGAGGGTGTAAGTATGACTGTGTCCTGTTTAGGGTGTACTGGTATATCGCTTAGCTTTCATGTTTCAGTATTATCACCTGAGTGTATTGTCAACCTCTATTGGTTATGCCTTATATCATAGGTGTATATCTAGGTCATGCTCTGCGATTCTGGCTTCAGTACATCCTCCCTATTTTAAGCCCCCGGGGTTCACCTTTGGGGTTTCACTTTTTGGATTCTATCATCTATCCTTTTGGAACTTGTTGCGTATGGACGATATTCTTCCCGTAGTTCTCCCGGTTGGACGCTGAGGATTCACGATTTTCCCCGGGGTTGTCTCATCGGGGTTGGCCGCTAGGCCTCAGCGGGTAGGCTTGGATTTCATACTCTAGGACCTATCTTTGGGGATCCTCCCTTCCTGATTTAGACCTGCTCTCCAACCCTGGAGATTGTTGGTTTCGGCTTGGGCTGTTTCGGTCCTAAGGGGGCACTTATACTCTGTATTGTGGGGGACTCAAGGTTATCGGGCGCCGTTATCTTTATTTTGTATGGGTTCTTGTCATATCTTCTCATTTGATTCTTTGTAGCTATGGACTAGTTCTAGTTTTATGCTTCAGACTCCTTCTTTATTGTTTACTGCTCCCCGATTATTCTGTTTCCTCTATCGACTGCCTTGGTGGTTTGGTCTCTCTTCCTCTACTCGTTATGCTCAAGTTATATTTTCTTCAATATGCGTGTTCATTTTTTTCGGTCTAAGGGTTATAATTTCGAAGCTTCCTCTCTTCACTAAGACCCAATGTTTTAGGGGTTGGCCTTGGGCTCGGACGCGTAAGCTGCACATTTAGCCTTCAGGTTCATTGTGCAAGCCTATTCCTTTAAGTTCAGAGTTTATTTTTTAGGAGGTGACTGTTCATTGTTTGGTTTGTGTATTTCCTGCCTATTGCCGCTGCTGGTACTGTTATCCTCTTAGGTATTATTTTTTAGGCTGTATTTTCTATCTCCGAAGGATTATGTTTCCGATGTTTTATCCAGGATTTGCTGATTCAGCCTTCTTTTTCCAGTGTTAATTCCTAGGCTTCGATGTCTGTGGGGCTTCAGGTATGGCTTATTGATGGTGAAGTAAGCCTGATGTTTCATGCACTGTGTTGCACATGCAATGCTTAGGCGTAGAGATTGGAAGTGTATATTGCAGAAGTATTTTGTCAGTCCCTGCTCCTTCCCCTTACTATATGGTCTCTATGGCGTACTGCTTAAGCTGTGCTGTTGGCTTTCTGCTTGAGGCTCTATGTTGTTCCCATTATTGCTTATGCTTGCTCTCTATTTGTCAGCCTCCTGTTGTGCTGTGGTTTCTGTAATTCTGAGGGCTGTTACCTTATGGAGTTGTGCTAAAGAGTACATTTTTTCTTATATGTTTTACCTGTATTCTTTGGTTTTTAGGCTCCTAGTGTACGCAGCTAGTTTGTAGGGTGTAAGCATCTGTCTCATCCGGGTTTTATCCATGGCATGGCGCTGTTGGCTTATGGTGGCGTTGGGTCTTGTTAGGTTGTATTGCTCACTCTGTATTCTTTAATGTTCAGGATTAGTGCTTTACACTCTATCCCCTTGGTTCCACTCTTGAGTGTAGTGGTCAGGCTTTATCCTCTATGTTTATGCTTCTAGGGGTCGGTGTATTGCCGGGGGGCTGTTTTTACTTGTTAGTGTTTATTAGTATTGTCCGATAATTTATCTTAGCCGGGTAAGATTTATTGATTAGGCGCCTTTGGTACTGTGATCATCCTTAGATTTTTATGATTTAGGGTGTAGTGTTTGGGTTGCAGGTTTTGGGCCCTAGGCTGTATATCCCATGGCTCAGCCTCCACAGCTTATCAGTGAGGCCTGTTGCTTAGCGTGTACTGCCACCCTCTAGTGTTTATTCTTACGGTTAATTCTTTACATATGCCTCCTTATTTCTGCTGCCTCTTCTTATTCCTTATCTCCTTAGCCTTAGGATCCTGTGCAATATCTGGACGGTGTACGGCTCAGATTTCATGGTTGCGGATTCAGTTTTAGTGTGTAGGACTGATCGAATACCCTTATTGTCTATCTGTTTCTGATGAAGTGTAGGGTGGTTCTTGCATGCCATAGCTCTTCGGTCTATACTAGTTTTGTACTGTGCATTGCTCAGGTGTATGTGCTATTGTTCATGCTGCAGAGTGCTTTGGTGTATTTGGTCATATTATTCTTCAGGGTATCTCCCCGAAGGTTTCTACGTTAGGCATCAGGTTTAGTTTCTACAGGTATGAATTTGGGGCGTCCTTGTCTATTGCCTGTTCTTTACTTCTTAGGGTTCGGATGGGTGCTGCATTACTTAGTTCTTAGCGTCGAGAGTTTGTGTCGTATTATCTATTCTGCAGGCTCTATGGTTAAAGTGGTAGTCCTCCTGTTTTTGGTTGTGTTATCAGCCTTTAAAGTCTATTCCTTACGGTTATTCATTTAATGCTGTTCGCTCTGGATTTACAGTTTGGACTTTAAGCAGCCCCTCACAAGCATCATTCTCCAGTCTGCTTCTCCAGGTGGTGTTTGTTCCCCTCCGACTTACTTTATTATTTCTTTCTTCCTGTGGCATCATGAAGATGTGTTTGTGTGTGTTATTTTCTCTAGGATGATTCCTGCTTTTTGTGTTACTGTTAAGGCGTGCTTTCGTGTGTGATTTTCCCTATGAAGATGCTCCTCTTCTGCGGCAGGGTTCAGAGGCCATCTTGCTTTTCATCTTCTTTATGAAGATGCTTCCTTTTCCTGGTATCTTCAGGAAGTTCCTTCGCCGTATCATTTTGAAGATATTCTTTTGCCTCGATTATTGTGAAAATGTCTCTTCCTGTGGCATCATTATGAACGGATTCTTCAGCTGCCTCCTTGTGAAATTGCTGTTGTTTTTACATCCTTGTTGATATTTTGTATTGTACGTGGTTT